TTAAATCACTTGCACCAGTAGGCTGATCCCATTATGTCAGCTAATCCTGGAAATACTGGAGGTAAATTTAAATCTTTTAATTTGAAACATTTAGCCAATGTTCTTTGTTTCTTTTTTTTTTTTTTTATTTTATTTTATGTTGTTCTGGCACAGTATTGGGAGTTTTATATTCCTGTCCATCTTTTGCCCCAGACTATAACTTTTTGTGTAGTCACAATGCTCAGTGAAAGAGTTCCAAATATGATTTCTTCCGAGGGACAGAGCAGGCAGGGCATTTGAAAGGACGGTGCTTGATTTTCACGAAACAAAAAAGAAATAGGTTATATGAAGAGACAGGGAAAAGATGGTGCCAGGCATATGGGAAAGTTAATACTGGTGCTCAGGGGATAAATCAAGTTCCCTTTGTCCCTGTTCGAGCATACCATCTGAGCAGTTGTACTATTCCCTCACCAATGGCACACCTACATGCTGCTCATGTTTCCTGCTTATGTTCACCCACCACCCAATTACTAGTCCATGAAGCTCCACACCTGCTGTGTCTTGATCCTCAGAACTCTACATTGGAGCTTTTAACCCTCTCCAAACACCTACACAATGCTTAATAATAATAATAATATTTAGTGCACGGAAAGCTACATTTAGTAATTATAGACAGTACTTCAAACACCAGATTAGCAGATTCTTACACAGTGCTGAAGATCTGCAACAGATAGACATACAAGTGAAAAGCACAGTCATTTTCAGTCTCTGAGTCATATTTAAGTTCTAGTCTCCTCAGAGACCTGTGAATCCTGCCTCCTATTTTTGTCCTAAGACTTGCCATAAAAGTTATTTCTTAAAGTCCCAAGTTTATGTGGAATTATGTGAATTTGTGGAAGAAGCTTGCAATACGAGCCATGCCTGTTCTAAACACTCAGTAATCTTATATGAAAACAGAAAGAATAGACATATTTAAGTATCTATATTTCTCTTGTCCTCCTTGTTCCCCACAAAATGTTTGAGCTTTTAAATTCCTAACTCATCATTTTTTAATTTTGCTGCTGAGACTACAAAGACATTCACATACTGGACTCGACTGAAAAGTACTCTCATTCGGTCTGAAGGGCTCAATTACACGTGTATACTACTAATATTTCTTCAAAAACACAAAAATCTTAAATTCCCTTTGGAACTAAGGTTACCTAGAGCAAGACATTTATAACAAATGGGAAATCAAAGTACAGAACTATCTATGGAGTTGATAGATTTCCATGCATAAATTTACACTTAAACATTCTTAACCATCTTGATTTCTATCATTTTTGTCTTGTGCAAAGTGTCCTCTAAACTAGTACAGCCAACCCAGTATGAAAGTCTTCAGTTTTTATTTATCTCTGCTGATAATGCAGTAACAATTGCTCTAATCTAGTCTAATCTATCATTTGAAGTTTATTTAATTATCATCTTTCAGGTCCATGCTTCTCTCCTGAATGCAGAGGCAGCGTTTTTCTTGAAGAATACATGGTGTGAGTACACATCCAAAATCATTCTTTTGTCCCTTTCAAATAATCCAACATGACGGTTCAAGCAGTGGTGGCAGAACATGAGACCGAAAGACCATGACCATTTTTTGACTGGCATGCTGAACACAAGTTACAATTGGGAAGGAAGGATAAAAGAATGTGTCAGTTAAATAGCAAATGCTAGAGCGAAGCTATCTGAAAAAAAAATAGAGATGGCAATTACTTAATAAAATGTGCCTGTATATAAAGAGCATGCTGTTGGAATTAATCTTCTTTTTTGTTCACAACATCTTATAAATTATTTTTATGTGGTGCTGAGGATCCTTTAAAAGATGTCAAGCACCTCAAAAAATACTTGAAATTAGCATTATATATAAAACTAACCATTATTTATGCTCCGTGTTTAGTCAAATTTGTTAGAAGCTAGGTTTATAAAAGAATTTCTAGGATGCTTGACAGTTAAGCATCTTCCTGGCAAAGATGGAGTAATTTAATTTAGGGACAGAAAAAACGAGTGTATTACACAAATCCATGCATATGTAAACATAAAATGAGTATATATCAGAAATCAACATTTCCCTGTATCAATTTGAAGTAAGAAAATGCCACCATAATAGAAGAACTGTAAATTCTTGCAGCAATGGTAAATTGAACTGAAGAACAATTTATAAAGAGCATAACTGAAAAAAAAATTATTTAGAAGGTCCATCTTTAGCAGATATTCAAAATAAGTATTGAGTACAGGTAAACAAAGAGTATCTCATATTTTCTTTAAGCAATCACAACCCTTCCAATTTCCAGGTTTCATGTGTGCAGGAGAACATGGCACAGCGACAAAACCATTAGTGTGTTCTTGCTTTTCATACAACCATTCTGAACAAGTAAAAAAAAAAAAAGTATCAAAAATTGCTCAGCCAGTGAAACTCTTGGCAGATTGGGTTAGTGCCCTGTATTTTACAACCCCAGGAGCTTAGGATTTGTTCATTTCTATGGCAATTTATACTAATCAATCACTTCCTGCTCTTTCGTCCCTTACTGTATTTATTTCTACGGCAATTTGTACTAATCAATCACTTCCTGCTCTTTCTTCCTTCACTGTATTTTTAAACCCACTAACTAGGATATGCAGCCTTGTAGCATCTCCACAATCATTTCCTTATCCCCTCTCTGCCATTGTCTTTTTGTGCTGAGACTAATGCTTTTAATTCTCCTTTTCACAGTCTTTAGGCTATATTGCCTTTTTGAAACCTTTCAGCTCAACTGCTAAGCGTACAACAAAGCCCTTTAGATTGCTTTTGGTCACAATAGTTCATGTTTTGAAAATACTACAAAGGCATATTTTTCATGGGAGGAGAGCCTTGGAATGAATACACTTTTCCAAGTGTGATATGAATGCCTCCAGTTCTTTTGTAAAATCTGCATTGAGGTTTCAGTCTCACATGCAAAGTGGCACCATACTGTCCAACAAACATAGGTTTCTTTTTTAAAAAGTATGGGCTTGTTTTGCCTCTATTCATAAGTTATATTTTGAAAAATGCATTAAAATATACGAGCTTTGTTCTTTGTGTTTCAGTTCTAACACAAGAAAGTAGTGAGCACCAGAATGTTGTATTTCACAAGAATTAAACTGCTTAATTCACATAACTTCAGTGACTTTTTCGTGCAGACTTATCTATAGTTTCTACAAAACAGCAGAGACCATTTAGTGAAAGGAGTTGTTTTTGTTTTCCCTATAGACCTTTACATCTTGTGTCAAGTATATCAGGGGTACACTTGAAGTCATAACACAGCTTTAAACCAGAGCTGATAAACCCATGTGGGATGTGACTTCGTAGTGGCGGAGTAACAGGAGTAAGGTCAGGGAAGAATTTAACTCATTTTCAAAGCACTAGAACATCTATTTAGGCTTGGGGAACATTTGCAAATCAATCTGAACCCAATGGGATTTGTGATCACATGCCATTTCTTCAGTTCATTATTTATCACGTGCACTTCGGTAGCATCTGGAGGCCTTACTCCATAGGGGACTGTACAAACACAAGGGAAATGTGATCTCTTCCATAAAACCACTTTTTAATATCACATGAAGTGAACTAATAATATCCTATCAAGGACTTGCTTTAAATGCAAGATATGCCAAGTTTCAGGTTTAAAAAGTTACATTTCTTTTTAGCATAAACTATTTCGTTAAATGACTACTGCACATAGAAATACATGCCTGCAACTATCTTTCTCTCATCAATGACTTAAAAAGTTTAACTAATAATGAATGCAAAGATATGAAAAATAATATTAAACCAGAAGGACCTAAACTCAACACCATCTACCATTAACCTCATACACTTTGTGACTCTTTAATGCCTCTGAAAAATGTTAATTCATATGCAATTTGCCAATAGAGAAACCAGAAAAGGATGAAGATGAGAGAGTGGTGCAGGGAAAATTAAGAGGCAAATAAATTTCCAAGGGATGTGAACTGTCCGTTTTAGTGAACGTGGAAACTTTGATACAGTTTAATGTGCAGAATACAAAATCAATTTTTTATAAGTAAGTGAAACGTGAATGCTGCAGGTGTGGAAGAATTTGAGAATCCAGAAAAAAAGCATGTTAATACCAGATGAGACATTAAAACTTGGACAGTTTCATTTGTGTCACATAGCAATTTTCCTTTTGCAAAGACAAAAATAAACAGCTCCAGCTGATCTATCCCTGATCTCATTTTGCATTTTATAACCCAAAATTCTAACCTCCTCTAAGGATTATTTCAGTTTACATTCCCTGTTACCTCTTTCCTGCCTTCATTTTGCAGTTGTCTCCTTCCCAAGTTCTTCAAACTTTCTAAGAGTTGCATATACTGGCTTCAGCAAGTGATGAGTCTCTTTAAATCCAGAATCAATGACACAACATCAATAGCCTAATTGAAGTGTCAAAGAAAATCACTACAGCGATTGGCCAAGACCAGATCACAACCTTGACCCCAGTTCAGGGAAGTGCCTGATTGAAAATAGCTTCTGTCATTGTCCAGCTCCTTCACCATGTAGTTTTTCACACCACATATTCTCTAATATCCAGAATTACTCAGCCAAAAAACCTCTTAAGTTTACTGCCAATAATAGAAGAAAGAAGGCAGCAGGACATGCTAGCTGACATTAAGAGTTCCTTCTGAATTTGGATTACTCAAGGGATTAATTTAATCTGACATACCCTGGCAGGGTTTGCAGAGTGCCACATTCATATCCAAACCTGTGATAACAAATTAAATACTGTGCCCCGTTTCTGAGTCAGGAAGGCAATAAAGTCCACTTTGAAATATGCACGTTTCTGATTTAAAATAAGTGTCTGATCTTTTACAATATATCCGGCTTGTAACTACAACATGGGAATGAACAGATATTCCAATTTAAGCAGTCATCTATTTATGCAGCAGGAGATTACTCTGTACACACATCTACGAAAAACTTTCATCTATGCACTGCAACAAGTACAAGATTCTCTTACCTGCAGGTTTGCACATGCTGGTGAATCGTTGTGGGTGGGTATTTCATTGTTGGTGGTCTCTGAACCTGTGTTTTTAAGTCTGGAAGCTGTTGTAGTTGTGGCTGTAGTGGTCTGTACTGGTAAGATTGGCTGCCACACATTCACATCAGTACCATTGCCGAAGGCCTGAATTGCATTTTCTGTAAAAATAAATTACAGGCAATTTTCTATTTCTAAACAAATGGCAGAAAGCAGAACTGACTTTTTAATCATCATCATTATTATTATTCCATTGAAAATGTGTATTTATAGAAACTCAATTTTTATGCTGAAAAATGTGTCTTAATTTTGAACATATCAGAAACATGAACTGAGAGTATGGGGGTCACATAATTATCTGCTGCAGCCTCTTTTTTGTAACATTGCCACTAATTCTTGACAGAAGTTGTAGGACTTACTGTAATCGTATTTGTTACCATCCAAAAGCCTCAAAATTTACTTTCAAGATTTAAAATACAGTTTGAATGTTATGTCCTAATTCAGGCAGGTGATGTTACATAGCAAACTAAAAACAGAGCAGGCAAAATATCAATTTATTTCTACAGCTTGTGCAGTAAAACTAATATGCCTATAACTACAAAATGGTTTAACTAAGACAATCTTTTCCTTACAGTTTTCAATCAAAAATCTGCATAATTAGGTGAGGGAAGCATGCTTAAACTAAAACTTCAGAATATAAAAGATAAAAAGCTTATCACAGTTTCATGGGATTAAAGAATGTGTTTATGGCAAGAGTAAATTGGCTGGGTTTTTTTATAAACAAATAGAAAAACAGTTTTTAATCAGGTCTTTGGGGATTCAACATGGATTTAGGGATTTCTTATTTCAAATTCTTTGTACAAGAAATCAAACAATTTCACTGGGGACTAATATGTGAAAGTTATTAATACTTCTTCTCAGTGGTATTCCTTGCCTTATAAAATAATTTATATTTAATTCTCATCTGAAAAAGATGTATTTTATTCTTATATTAGTTCTTAGAACTCCAATATGTAAAGAGAAAAATTTGTAAAATGCACCACAATCAGCTGGGTTGATGGAGACAAAGTGGGAAGAGTGCAATGATATTTTTCTTGGTTTTACCTGAATAAGGCAATTTATAAAGTAATATTTTCCCATAATTTCCTAAATCAACAGTAACTTTGTTTCCATTACTGCAAGAAGGATCAGAGAAATACAATCCTTGCAGTTTTCTAAGTGATCTTTACACTCAGTCTTCTTTAATTCTTTCACAGAATCATACCTGATGATTCTTATGAGTCCCTTCCAACTTGAGATATTCTATGATTCTTATAATAGAATCACAGAATGGTTTGGGATGAAGGCACCTTTAAAGGTCACCTAGTCCAACCCCCTGCAGTGAGCAGGGACATCTTCAACCAGACCAGGTTGCTCAGAGCCCTGTGCAGTCTGACTCTGAATGTTTCCAGGGATGGGGCTTCTACCACCTCTCTGGGCAACCTGTGCCAGGGTTTTACCACCTTCATTGTAAAAAAGTTCTTCCTTCTCTCTAGTCTGAATCTTTTAGTTAAAAACCATCACCCCTTGTCCTATTGCTACAGGCCCTGCTAAAAAGTTTGTCCCCATCTTTCTTATAAGCCCCCTTTAAGTATGGAAAGGCTGCAATAAGGTGCCCCCAGAGCCTTCTTTCAGGCTAAACAACCCCACTCTCTTAGCCTTTCCCCATAGGAGAGGTGTTCCATCCCTAGTCATATTCTCATAATATTTCAAACATATAAATTCTATTTTAAAGATGTCTTTTTTATGTATAATTTTCATATATATTTCAAAAAACATAATGAATCTAAGGAGGTGCTTCAAGTGTCTAACAGCTATAGTAAAGGTCCTTTCAATAATTTGTATTCACTAAGTTTCTGCTTTATGCTTTTCCTCCCACTTGCCAATCCTTTTTACTGCAGTATAACACAGGTGTGAACAAATCCTTTGAACAGATAGGTGGATATACTGAATCCCATTCAGTTCA